CTAAAGTTTGGAAGAAAGGAAATGATTTGTTAAAAATGCTATATGACATTAACCGTTATTTGAAATAATCACAATGCTGGGTTTAAACGAATTTCAAATGCTCACTTTAGAACAAATAGGTGTCATTCCTTAATTTAATAACCAAAATCACTCGTAATTCCGTTATTTTTCTGAAGTGCTGTAAAAGCAGAGATGTGATACATTTGATGAATTCACATTAGTGACTAATCTAAAAATAGAAACATTCGCAACCGCGAACGAATTGATTCGAGAGGGAATGAAGAGAGGCATATCGGCTTTTTTTGGGCGGATCTGAGAAGAAAGAGCGTGCATTAGACACAACTAAGATTCGGCAGAATATTACTGATCACCTGGGGACCCTGTTATCATTTGAGATTAAACTAGTCTGAGGACAAACCTAGTTGTTGCAGACTTTTCATATGATTTTGTAAGCATACAACACATTCTTGTAAAAAGTAATGTACGTCATTTATGCCTTTAAATTTAAAAAAAAAACAACTTGTAAATTCTAAGCCGAGTATGGCATCAAAATCAAATGTAAAGTAAGAATAGCATGTCACATAAGGATTACACATCGCATCGACATTGGGTGGTGTTGGCTTCTTATGTTTACAACGGTGACGTCGTAAAATATTGTGTTCCAGCTTTTGATTGAAATCGGTTGATCCACGGATGTTGCCGATCAGCATCGGATTAATTCCAAAAACGTTTGAAAAACGTCCAGGTTTTTCAGTTCAATGGAAACAATACCTGGCTTATAGTGGAATGAAACAGATATTTTCTGGTTTTAATGGCACCCAATGAAGTTTAGGACCATCATGTTCAAGATTCACTATTAGATGATATGGCATATATGATTTCTTTTCACGTAACGGCGGCAATAATGGGGTTAGCTACACGGTGTAGCATTTGTTGCCTGCTCTACATGTCATATTTGGTTGAACGTGTTATTTTCCTCGTTCCCAATACATACCCAATTTTGGTACTCACTGTATTAATTCAGTGTCTCTGGAAATATCATGATATTACAAACTCAATAACTTCATTTTTCTGAATTTTCATGATTAAAACTATATTTATCAGTATTTTCCATACCCTTAATCTCAGCTTATGTGGAGAGAAAGTCGTACGAGCTGCGGCACTTTTGGGATCTATATTTATTTTCAATTCCGCACCAAAGGGTCAGGTGATAATTTCAGAAATGAATTTTTCAAGTTAAAGTCTGCAGTTTGAGGAAGATTCTCAGGTGGTGGGATCAGCCTAACGGTTTATGAACGAAGAACATATTTCCCTATGCAACCTTGACTTTAGTCAGATATGAATGTTGAATTTAACCTTTACTGCACTTATTTTCCACGTCATATTTACGTTGATCTTTAGTTTCCTTTAAATTTGGCAAATATTTCACATGATGTAATCTGTGGGACCTAGCGAATTAGAGTACTTTTCAGGACTGAATCATTTTGGCGACGAAACTAAGGCAATATAACTCGCTGTATATGTGCGTGGGTGACGATTCTATTTTACGATTTTTTCGCAAAAACTTTGTCACGTTTTCTCACATACCCACAATGGCCGAGTCTGAGACTCAAAGCAATGTGGACAGAGATGATTTGTCATCATCATCATCATCATCATCATCATCATCATCATCATCATCATCATCATCATCATCATCATCATCATCATCATCATCATCATCATCATCAGTCCCTTAACCCAAGAGATTGTTGGGGCACTACATCCCATGCCTGTCGACTAGTTAATGTTGTCTTCCCACATCTTTTCTGTCTGCCTCTTCTTTTACACCCTCGCACTGTGCCTTGCAAGATTGATTTTAGCAGTCCAGATGATATTGAGACATGACCGTACCACTTCAGTTTGCGCTTATTTTTACAGTGGTCAAGATGTCGTCATAGGATTTTTTGTGGACTTCTTTGTTGGTTACATGGTCCATGTATGAGATGCCCAAGATCTTGCGGTAGCTTCTCATTTCGAAGGTTTGAATCCTTCTATGTATATCTGATTTGAACGTCCTTGTTTCACAAGAATACAGAAAGATGGATATGACAACTGAGCGCATTAGACTTATTTTGGAACCAAAAGCAATGTTTGTATCTTTTCATACTGGTATCAAACTTGTTAATGCTGCTGTTGTCTGGTCAATCCTACAAAGTTGTTCCGGTTTGGAGCCCTCATCTGTGATAATTGATCCCAAATACTTGAAGATTGTGGCTCTTTCCAGCTTCTGTCCACTGATCTTCATTTTTGCACTAATGCCATTGGTATTGTTTCTTGTCAGTTTTTTTTTCGGCGTTGATCTCCATATCGTATGCGGAGTAGGTTGTGTCGAGACGCTCAACCAAGAGAGCCAATTCTTTTTCATCTCCTGCTAAACCATCAATATCATCTGCGAGGCGAAGGTTAGTGATTGTTCTTCCTCCGATGCTGACAGTGCCCTTGTGAACCTGCAAGGCATCCTCCATGATTCTTTCCAGGAAAATGTTGAAGAGTGCTCCTGTCCGACTCCAACTGTTGTTTGAAACCAATCTCCTCTGCTGCCAATAATGAGAACTGCACTGGTGGCTTTGTCAAAGAAGCGCTCAACAAACTGCACCAGATTTCAGCTTGTTGCACTTCTTCGTAGTTGCTCATAAAGATGAATTCCATACCCTATCAAAGGCCTTTTTGAAATCTATAAAGATCTATCAGCAGCAGATTTTTTGGCAGTGCTGGCCAAAAGCGAGCGCTTTAGATCACTCCCCCCTATTTGATCATGGAATATATCTGAAGTATACAAAGGTCGGTTGTAGGTTACCAGTGCATGTTTTTACGTTATTGTTTATAATCTGGAATAATAATGCATATTGTTTATTTTTACCGATGCTTCTGTTTCAGCAAAGCTGTTTCAACATCTTTAAAGGTACTGAATTAACTATGTTTTCAATAAACTACTTTTAAAAAAATAAACTAATCAAGACATAAGGGCTAGCCCAAATTTGGAAAGTTGTATGTCACTGTCTCAAAAGGGATATAATTTATTGTATTTCTCTGAACTTGAAAATCATTTAATACTTGCAAGTAGATGAATCTATCGAATATTCTGAATATTTTTTCCTATTCTTGTGGTAGCAATTTTATAAAATGTAATGATATTTTGACTGGGTGCACACCTGTTTTGTCCCTGGCGACAAATGGACGCTAACAAATTATGTATCACAACGCATGAACTGCTAATGCCTATAAAAGGAAAAAGTTAGACTATACCTTAACAACTGTTCTCGTAAATTTGAATTATTCCCTTGTGTGGGAATCTCAAGCATCGTGATTCGTATCTTATCGCAAAACCAATGTTGATACACGGCTTTAGTACAATTTAGGAACTAATTTTAGGTATGTATTAACAAATATTTACAGAACGCCAAAGCCGTCTTAAAAGATCCGTTTTTAATCCACTCTATTCAGACTGCATAACATAATGCACATTCCTTATTATGTACACCGCATTTATTATTAAATGTTGAACGTTATTATACGATGCTCATTTATTATTAAATAATGAATTTTCTTTATTATACGATGAGCATTGAATATGATTTAATTAATTAATTAATTAATTAATTAATTAATTAATTAATTAATTATATTATTAATTAATTATATTATTAATTAATTAATTATATTATTAATTAATTAATAATAATAATTAATTAATTATAATTATTATTATTAATAGTAATTAATTAATTAATTATACGATGAGCATTAAATGCTATGTGTTTTACAATTTGATGTGAATTTCTTATTATATGATGTGTGCTTTTATTATATGAGGAGTTCTTTTAAATAAATAAATTATAGTTATTATATGCCGTACATTTCATATTATATGAGGTGCATTTCAGATTATGTGATGTGTAATTTTAATTATATGTATTATTTTCATTAAGATTCGGTTTGCATTAGTTACCATATGATTCAGTAAAAGAACAAATAGGTGGGGACTTTATTATGTGATGTGAATGTTTTGTTATATGCCGCACATTTGTACTATGGAGAGGCTTTACAGATATCTGAGAGAGTGATGGGTGTGAGGTGAAAGTGTTTGCATGTGCAACATAAATGTTGGTACACCTCTATGTCAATTTCATGTACTATGGCTGAAATTTCTTTTGACATTGTACTTGCGGAAATTGTACATGATCTAACCTTACTACTGACCAAAATGGTTTCTCCATTTTGCTCGAAAAAATCAGCCTGAATTAGTTCAAAGTACATTATCAATAGCAGTTATTAAAATAGGGTAAACGAATGTTACAAGACTTGACAATACCAGTTTTGAGAAAGTGCAATCATTGAATTACAAAGTATATAAAAAGTTAAAGACGTTATCGGCTCTTTCTTTTAACAATTTATTTCTGAAGTCCAGGAAGTATATTTTATTTTATAGGTGAACATCTAAAGAAAGACCAGTTTGTATCCTCTATATCCGTGTTACACCCATCAATCAAACATCAATTCAAAGGGAATTAAAAGTTATTTTAACAATAACCAATATATACCTGGGTTTTTTTTTTTAAATTAAAAATAAAAGACATCCAGTATAACCTGTGACAAAAAACTGGGAAATTCAGTCTCTTTAAAAATCTAACTCCATGCAAAATACAAAAACTTAGAGTGCCACCTTACTGACTGATCTTAGATATTACGTACTTCTGAGAGAGCGACAGGTGTGTGTGGGGGGGTTTGTGTGTGTGTGTGTGTGTGTGTGTGAGAGAGAGAGAGAGAGAGAGAGAGAGAGAGAGAGAGAGGGGGGGGGTTTGGATTTTTAAAATAGCTTTAACTATATCTAGCACTGAGGTATCCTGTCGCAGATATAAAGCATGATGTCCTACTTAGTCACATCATCCTGACACCAGGCCGACCAGTCATAACATTAACCTCTTAATGCTGCAAGTCCCATTTTTATGTCTTTGGTATGACTAGGTCGGTGCTCAAACCCGCAACCTCCCACATTCGAGGTGGACGCTCTAACCACTAGGCCACCGGAGCGGTCGGCGTAAGGTGAAGTTGTTTGCATATGCAACATGCACAAGGACAGAATGCTGGCATTTTGTTTCTAAACTACTTTCAATTACTTTTGCTGTTGTTTTTACGTATTGTACTTGTTGAAGTTGTACAAGACGTAAGCGACTAAAATGGCTGCTCCTATATGTTCGAAAAATCAGCTCGAGTTAGTCCAAGTTACACTAACTTTAGCAGTTATTAAAATAGGGAAAACGGACTTGATAGAAAATACAATAATAGCTGCTGAAAGTGCAATCTGTGAAATACAAAATGTACAAAAAGTAAATTAAGCTTATTGGTTAATTTTTTCCTTTTCTACAATTTTAACTTTGAAGTACAGGAAGTTAAAATGATCAAAATGGAGCTTGTATGTTTTTATTTGATAGGTGTACATTGAAGTACGGCCAAACTGTATACTCTATCAACCAAATTATACCCATCAATTATACACGAAAATAAAAGGAATTAAAAGTTATATAAAAATATCTAAAATATACAAGATATTTTTAAATAGCATAAATGACTAGTAAGAAGTATATGGGAAATTAGTTTTCTTTAGATATCTAGTCCGGTGCAAAATATGAACCTGTGGAGCGCCACCTGAACTTGTGCATTGCATCAGTTTTAGGCTGTATTGTAGTCCACACTTTAAAATTATGTTCACGTTTGCCTAGGTTTGAACCGTGGACTTTAGTATCCTAATTCCTTGATATAGGTTTGTGTGGTGGGTGGTTTGTTGGACATATATGTTTTGTTTGCTTGCAGATTGTCTTATGGTTTGACGCTGGCTGATAAAAAAATAAAGAGATTAAAAATTAACATTTATTTTAACATATTTAAGTCTTACTAGTCAACGAACTGTTAGAGTAGTTGATATATTGAGAAAGCTGGAATTTAAATTTCTGCAAATTTCTTGATGTGTTTGTTTACTTTCGAACTGCCAAAGTACATCTAAACAATATCATTCTCGTTTAAATTGACTATCAATGTATCATCAACTAGATTTTATCTATGACCTTTGTAAACAAGTGAAATATCCTCTGCCTTTTCCGCAATGTCGAAAAAGAAACATGGGATGTAATTGCGGTCATTAAAGACTATATTCCGAATTACATGGCATGATATGGACTCGGATCACATTTTATTTGCCTTTACACAGTGTCTAAATTTGTGGATACTGAACCGGAAGTAATAATTGTGGTCCGAGTCCTATCACGCCAACTTTATTTACAGCCAGTTTTAATCAAAATTTTATGTTTGCATGCAATACCTGTTTCAACGACAGACACGATGCCTTTTTAATTTTATAGAGAAACAGGATGTGTGACAGCTGTCAGAAGGTGTGTAGCGCTGGTGTTTGAATAGGTCTCACTGGATAGTTTCGTATTTAGACACCCTCCTAATTTTCAAGGTAGAAGGCATGAGCCTAATTATCACAACCCTAGCATTTATAAATTTACACATAAGCTAAATCTGTAATGTGGTTTACTGTTACTTTGAGTTTGGCTTGTAAATGGGTTGCCTTGTTGGTGACTGCCTGTCTCAGTTAGACTAGCACTGGGGATCAAATGCGTAACTTGGGCTGCAAATGTGCATCCGACTTGGCTTACGTATTTACACGTGTCTGCTTCAGAGGTAAATATCTAAAAATCTACATGGTTGAGGGGTGATGAAAAGTATGTTAATTTGTTATAGTACTAGTGAACTTTCAAGATCACTAAGGTACGTACTGAGTCTGTTAGCCTGCTTCTCAAAGGAACAGGCTGAAAATAGCTCTTTTCTGTCAAAAAAATAATGTAAAAAAGAGGGGTTGGTGGCAGTATAGGTTCAGTATCAAAACCACCAGTTACATAAGGAATTAACCTTAATACCTTAGTCAGAATCTTACAAGCATCCTTTCAACAAAAATCATTAGTTAGTAGTTTTTATTTGTATCTTTATTGTAAAATTATGATCATTTTTCTGCAATAGGTTATTGTCGGATGAAAATTTGCCAAAACAACTGTCCGGTGAGACCATAGGGTGCAAGTTTTGGGTCAAATGCTTATAAGAATCCAAAACTAAATTTGCTATATCTTCCTTAATTTTATGAATTTTTAATTGCAGCAAATACTTAAATGTAATAAAGGTAAGTTCTATCTTAAAATGTGATTGAAATATAAACATTGATAAAGTAAATTTAATAGAAACTTAAACATTTAAATTTAAAAAAAACAAAAGTTTAATGAGACATCAAATTTTCATGCTGTGTTAGCTTTGGTCTGTACAACTTATATAATCTTTTTGTACAGGGGTAGTGATGCAAATTAGATCACTGTGATTTTGCAGCAAATTGCAATATGCCTGTTCATTTATGCATATTGGTGTACACACAAAAGAAATAATGACAGGTGACAATTTCCACATTTTTCCAGGCACTCAACCAGTTGTTAATATAAATAATAATACACCTAAATTTCCCATTTTGACCTGACCAGTTCCGTGTTTTATGGTAAAAATGCATTGTGTTTCAATGTCAATAAATACAAAGGCGACACTATAATAAGAACATACAGCTCCAGGAAGGCTTTACCTTACCTAACAACGGCGCTGATCTTATCAATACCTAAGCCATGTCGTTGTGGTGCAGTATATCATTTGGTAATATGAAATTATTCTAGTTGCTTATGGCAGGTACACTGGATATGTCTTAATGAAGCCTTTGTATCACCATCTGACTAACAGAGAAGTTTCATACTAATCCAACTCTTCCACCTTATTCCAGATACCAGGCTTATTCCAGATACCAGGCTTATTCCAGATACCAACCTAATGCAGATATCAGGCTAGTTTTGTAAGATATAATAGCTTTCACTAAATCATATACATTCTTCTATGTAGGTAAATGAAGCTAAAATGTGCTAGATATAAGGAGTTCAAAATGAGATTAAGGGTGCAAGCACAAGAAATTACTCCATTAAACTTGACTCAGTGACACTCAGAAATGTGAAGCAAAATGGCATGTGTTAAAGAGATTATTTATCTACAAAATATAGCTATCATAAAGTTTTGGCAATTTATTGAAGGTGAGACTTAATCATTGGTGCAACAATTAGTACATATCAGTATACAGGGAAGTTAGGTGAAAATGTACTAAATTAAAAGATAGTACCACAAGTAGCCGTAATCATGATGTAAATATCCATTTTGGATATTGCAAATGAATGCAGACAATTATGTGCCAGGCACCAACAGATTCTATATTATTAGCTAAATGTGAAATTCCGATCCCCAAAACAAGCAAAACACGGATGGACATTTGCATGTGTGGGGCATGTACCATATACTTAATTAAGGTCAAATATGAACATTTGCTCGTGTGGGATATGTAACCATGTTGTAAAAAATTAAATTCAAATAATATGTTTAAACATTTCGTATGTAATGTTTAGAATTTCAGTTAACAATTACTATTAATAGTTAATAATCAATAAAACAAAATTGTTCATTAGAATGGGATATCAGTTTATGTCAAAATGTCACACCTTTCAGTCAATGACTTAACCAAAAGAAGCAATGCATTTTGTGTTAAACTTACTTCACTTTCTAATTTTCTTACAACCAAAAGTACCATGACATGGGGAAAGTATATGTTATCCCTTTGACCTATTTTTCTTTGACAGTTTCCATTTTCTGACATTTTAAAATGGCTTGGTAGACAACCTGAGTAGGAAACGCTATGGAGTTTTCATCTCCATTCTCTATTTAAGTACCATATAACTGTGTGTAAACAGGCCGTACAAACAGATTTGTGTTACTCATATAGTTACTCCACCATAAACAATAAACACATAAATTAACTTCTTAGAACCATAATAAATAGTATAAATTACTAAAGGCACAATATCAACTAGAAAGATGTCTTCACGTGGTTTGATTAAATGCCTCATTCTGACTTGGAAAAATATTTCTGGCAGAATTTCACAAATAACTTTTATAAGGTTTAAGAATACTTATATCCCGATAATGACGAGCGTCAACCACACCGACTCGATGCATGCGCAATTTGTACGCATAAATTTAATTTAAGTTAAAAACATTAAAATTTTTAAAATTAATTTTATTAAAGTTTTTATTGCATAGTTCTATTTTTAAAGTCAGTATATACAACATGTGAACATTGCATATGTCTAGCTTTAATAATAAACGTCTGATGCTATTTTAAACTTTTATGTATATGTCTAGTTTTAATAATAAATTTGGGATGCCATTTTAAACTTTTATGTGTATGTCTAGTTTTAATAATAAATTTGGGATGCCATTTTAAACTTTTATGTATATGTCTAGTTTTAATAATAAATTTGGGATGCCATTTTAAACTTTTATGTATATGTCTAGTTTTAATAATAAATTTGGGATGCCATTTTAAACTTTTATGTGTATGTCTAGTTTTAATAATAAATTTGGGATGCCATTTTAAACTTTTATGTGTATGGCTCAAACAGGACTTAGATCGCAATTATTTTTCTATATAAAACTTAATACTGGTTTCTTTGCACTTTATTGCGAACTTTTCACTGTGTCCGAATCCTAACAAATCATGTTAATCTAAGATACCTTCAACTTTTCATTGTGTCCAAATCCTAACAAATCATATGTTAATCTAAGATACCTTCAAAGAAGAACTCATTGTGAGTTCTTGTCATAAGCTATCAGTCATTTTGAACTGTAAGCAAAATACCGTGCAATGGGTCACGGACTTCACTTCCTTAGCATGGACTTAATTGATAATAAAATTATTAACTTCCACTAATAGGCCATTTAATTATAGCCAGCCTTTAACCGTTACATGAATCCTTAGTTTTTCCTTTAGGTGTTTCAATGCCGGATTACCAAATAGACAGAGTAGGCACCGGCCTATGGGTCCCGCGATAACGGTTTCAAAATAATATTGAATTGATTTGATTTTGACTGCCTAGAGGCTTCCACAGGGTTTAATCCGGCACTGCCGGGTGTATAGGGTTGCAAGCACGCCAATAATTATCAGCGGGGCCGCTCGAACGATCCCTCGAGAGTATATTTAGTATAAATAAAATAATAAGTTGTTGTTTGTTGTTGTAACGTTTAACGCCATTTTTCAGCACAAGATAGGTTATATACGGCGGCCAAAATAATGGTGGAGGAAGAACACCGGAAAACCCCGGGAAGAACTAACGACCCATGAGAAGCTACTGGCAGGCTTTCTCACTTACCCACGTTAGCCAAGTCTGGACTCGAACTCACGCAGAGAGGTGAGATGGCAGTGATCCGTAACGGTCAGCGCTTTAGACCACTTGGCCCCTTGGGGCCCCAATAAGATAATAAGAAAATATATGTTTGTGCAGTCACTATCGGTTGAAACAATGGAACAAAGGCTGTTTTAATTCTTTAACTTTTCTTTTCAAACGAAACAAGTGACCCTTTCTTTCTCTCTCTCTGGTGGCCTAGTATTTGAATCATTCGCCTCGGATGCGGAAGGTAGTGGGTTCGAACACCGGCCGAGCCATACCAAAGACTTATAAAAATGGTACTTTACAGCTGCCTCATTCCCAAGTGCTAGACATCACTATAAACTGCCACACTGCAGAAGTAATATAATTGAAAAATCGTTAAAGCTACGTTTAAAATCCAAATCTCTCTCTCTCTCTCTCTCTCTCTCTCTCTCTCTCTCTCTCTCTCTCTCTCTCTCTCTCTCTCTCTCTCTCGTACAAAGTACAAATACACATCCATTTTCCATTTTCAATGTCTTATTCTTTAGCCCTATGTAAAAAAACAATTCGAAGAAACTAGTATCGTTTCATACCAGAAAATCATTTTTTTTTTATTAACAACAATAAATTATTATTGATTTGATCCAGTTACTTAAGTTTATACAACTGTTATGTAACTGGTTTATCGGTTGTCGTCAATGTTTATTTAAGTTGCATTTTTTATTTTAAATATTGATTAAGGTATACGTTATCTTGAGTCATATCTGAAACGCTTATGATCATTGGCAGTTTGCCAGCAATTTTCAGAAAACCTGCCACGACCTAAATAAATCAAGGACAGTTTATATTTCTACTTGTCTCACAGTATGGTTTCGAGTTAGTCACTTTATACCTAGAAGGTGTAGTTTAAAGCAGAAAATTTCGGCATTGTACATGAACATAACTTCAACAATCGATTGATAATTGAAGATACAAGCATATACTCCGAAAGCGCGTTCACACATGGTACAAAGTTAAATGTTAGTAGGCAATTTCAAGTAGAACGTGCGCTAATACACGTATTCGATCAGGTAATAATATATGAACCACCAAAGCTATGGTAGATGGACTCCCATTTGAATACATGCGGTTTAAACATACTACAATATGCATTTCATGTGTGTGTGTGTGTGTGTGTGTGTGTGTTTTAGATTTTTAACGTAGCTTAAATTTTTTTCTTTCAGTCATATCGATACTAAGTCTGCAGTGTGACAGTTTATAGTGATGTCTAGTACTGGAGAATCATGCCGCAGACATGGCATTATGTCACACCCAGTCACATTTTCCTGACACAATGCCAACCAGTCCTAACACTAACCTCTTAATGCCGAGCGCCAAGTAAGGTAGCTGTTAGTACTATTTTTTTATATATTTTTTTAAAGTCTTTGGTATGACACGGTCGGAGTTTGAACCCACGACCTCCCGCATCCGAGGTGGATGCTCTAACCACTTGGCCACCGGAGCGGTTACTATTGTTAGTAGTATACGCGATATAGAGGATCTCAAATGCGTAACGATTTAATATTGAATTTATGAACGAGTTGAATAATGTCCACCTTTTGCGAGCCTTGGTGAGAAATAGCTTGATATTATTTAACGAGTTTCATAAATTTAATATTAAATCATTACCCATTTGAGATTCTTTTTATCACAGTTTTATTTCAGGAGGAATTGTTAGATAGAAAGATGAACGAATAATTTCGTTCATTCTGATAGACGCTGCATCTTTCATTTGTTGTGCGTAAAAAAAATTAGTCCCAAATAAAGTTGAAATAGTACAAGTATATTATAAGCACAAGTATACGTTTTTGATAAGTATAAATCAAAGAATAAGCGCCCATCCAAATAAAGAGAACATTTTATAAAAGACAAAACATTTGTCAACACAAAACGTCCATTGCGTGTGATGTCACATTGTCTGATACGGTGCACAGTACCACTTGAATTGGCCTAACACAGTGACAGTGTTACGTTGAAATTTTCCACATCACAACGAAACTTTACATTGTGGCGATATTTTTGTGAAAAGATTATTTGATGCAGATTTACACATATTTACTGCAATATATTTGTGACCAGATATTTACAGTATTTGATGTGGAACATTATATTGTACAGAAGACGTAAATAAATCTCTTTTTTAGTCTGACTTACAATACATATTTACCGCATAAATATGCTGTGGTTAGATAAAGTTCATTCAGTTGGAGAGACCGGTTTATGTTTACGTTCTTCTGTGACCAAAGGTGAGTTTATTTACTTCAGTAAGTTCGTATTTAAATCAAGATTGCATTTAAGGTGGATTGCATGTTACATATATACCTCCCGTCCAACCCCACCCCTACACTGGTTATCATCTAAGCAATACCGGTAGTTTTACTTGTTTTCTTGTTTTGACATTTTTCATGTTCTGATATGTTACACATGACGTAACAAAAGAGGGAAATTGGAATATCGAGACGACGAGACAATTTTTTTCTCCAATATCCTTTCGCGAGTCGAATCAAAAAATGACGGCCCAAAAAGTTAGTGAAAACAAAAAATTCCAGAATGTGGGGTTAAAAAGTTTTCCCACGATCGTGGCAAATCAGTAAAGAAAATACTGCACAATAATTTCATGGGCTTATTTGGACCTATCAGAAACACATCAAGTGATATGTTCACATATATAATATAACAAATATGAAACTGCACACACTTTAGTCAAAGTGTACCGACTATGTGATAAATATTATTTATTATAACTATGTGATAAATATTATTTATTATACTAAAAGATCAGGGCAACAAAACAAAACAACAACAAAACAAAACAAGTAACTTTTAATTCATGAATAATTTAACATGTTATATTTTTTGTTAATCTGACTTACTGCGACAGTTAATATATATATATATATATATATATATATATATATATATATATATATATATATATATATATATATATATATATATATATATATATATATTACATGCTCATTTTTTTTTCTCCGTTAACTTTACATTGTTAGAATCGTTCAATATTCCCCGATATTGAACACATTCATATTATACTCCTCGCGCTTGATGCACGTGAGCACGCGGTACTCTATGAATTTAAAAGGTCGGTTGGAGAAGCTATATGCGCATGAATACTATTATTGTGCATTGAAGGAATCTTCAATTATGAAGTTTATTATTTTAATAATAAAATAATTTTTTTATTATTAAATATATTTGGTTGTGAATTGTATTATAAGTCGTTGGTAATGAAACAAAAATGAGCATATAATTTAAAAAAATGTTCTGCATTTGAAGGGAAAAATATGAACTCGTTTATTCCGATGGATATACTGCACTCCCGAGGTCGTGCAGTAATACCATCCGAATATATATATATATATATATATATATATATATATATATATATATATATATATATATATATATAAAATGGCTTCATATATTATGTTTAGTCAAAAATATTTAAAATATTAAATAGTGTCACTGTGCAATATTTGTATGTTTGAAACCCACTTCACCCACGCTCAGATAGTCAAGGTTAATTTCTACTAGGCTTTTGAGGGGTTTGTTTTGATTGAAATTTGGAGGATGGACATTGTAAACAATAGAGATTTGCAGATGATATTAAACATCTGTGGTTTGAAATTCAACTGTATCTACGACAAGATGGCAACAATTCCCATATAGGTTAATCAAGATTTGTCGTATTCAACACTCGACACATGAAACTAAAATCAACTAGCATCGATAGAAAGCTCGTTTATCTGCCATCAAAAGCACTTTTTAATTCTTACTCAGATATATTGTTTCCCGAAACAGGTCCAGATTAAGGAGGGGCGCATCGGACGACATGTATATTCTAGAGTCTATCATGTACTGAACATAGGCGCTAAACACACAAAACCAAGACCCAACAGACTTTGCCACGAATGCATGCCAATAGCTTTCTTTCGGACCGCCTGGATATTTACGAAACAAGGACGGAAAATTCTAAATGCATACAACTTTTTTTCATTCGTGATCTCTTGATCAATCCTACTCAGTCCAATCGCAGAAATAGCCTAGGTGGTCTGCAAAGATTGAGGTTTCTTTCCGGCAAAGAACGTGTGACTTTTGTGTAAATTATAATGCAAACATACATCTGAGGCGTCGTTTTGTCTTGCATAAAAAGCCATGCTGGACCGATTGATTCATGACCAGAGCAACATTAAATTCTCACTCTTTTGATCACTTTAAATTATATATATATATATATATATATATATATATATATATATATATATATATATATATATATATATATATATATATATATATATATATTTCCGGTGCCCGGGCCGAACAACACTTTTTAATTTATAAAAGAAAAATTCTGTATTCACAAGAACTTGGAGAGGAGCGGATGTTTCTTACGCCATGGCCCGTGATCGCTTTGAACGGCCTTTCACACAGATGGCACTCAAGACGTATGCCTTTATTCTCTCCACTATACATGTTGCAAATACAAACAACTTAAATTAACCTTACAACTCTTACTCTCTCAGAAGAGCGCTCCCTATATCATAAACTGATTTTGATTTGCGTGCTACATCAAACTACAAAGAAGCAGTATCGTAATATACTAAGCTTGCAAAATAAAGACGTATTTGTACGCATGAAAGAGTGACGTAGTTGTACTCCTCAGATAGTATTACTAACCGCAGGCCAAATAGTCATATTCTTTATGTTGTATTTTTTTTCATCTGTAAAAATAGCTAATTCTAGATTTAAGTAATTTTAACCTTTAATAAATCAAATTGAAGTTTTTGATACTTGAAGCACCAATACAAAAATAAAGGAGGAAATAAAAAATGTTGATGTTCCTTCTGAATACCTGGTCGCTGAAGAAATAGATTGTGTCGGGCAATATCTGCAGGAACCAAATCACCTTTGCCTGGTACCATGGCCTTCCATGATGATTGTGTACCAAACATGGGAAGCTAGCGAAATAGGCTACAAATCACGAATGGTGATCACATGTCTAGGGCAAAAAACAAAAAACCCCAACAAAACAAACAACAAACAACAAAAAACAAAAAAACAAAAACAGCCACATGCATTTCGCAGGGTTTCTGTTTATATGATGCTGTGCTGTGCAACCTTTTTGAGATAATGGACCACTGAAACATTGCCCTTGACGCCGAGGGCAGAATCATGAATGAAAGTAGGCAATTGACTTTTTCTTCTTTTCATAAATGCACAAAAAGTTTTCGAGCTCTTGCGGGCCATTATTGTACGGCATTGGTATGATGTATCAGTTAACTAGAAATATAAATCAAAATTTAATAGAAGAATCTATTGTATTAATGTTTGCATGCTCATTTGTATTACTTTGCTAAACTAGTACAGGATGAATTAATATCGAAAAAGAAAAACCTGTGATGTTGTCAGTCCAAAAATGAGAAAAATTTTAATTTAACAAACATAGATAACCTATATTTGTGAGAACAATAATTATAGACACATTACAGACTACGAATGCTTAACAGACAAATATAGAGGTTGAGCAATATCGAAAGTAATCTGAATTATAAATAACCAAAATACGTACCATTATTTATTCATAACCGGTTATGTCAAATAACTTATTCATCAGTAAGCTATTAAAACATTACCCAGGTCAACAATAAAAACCAAGCCTATCAATGACGAGGAATATAGTTCATTCAATGACAGTTCATAGCAGGGGTGAAAAACTCAACCGTTTGCAATGGCCATAATTGACTTGATTGACCTGAGTGGAACTAAGCGAGCGGCACTGCACAAGTTTTGGGTTTGTACTAAATGCATAAATACGCATGCGTAAGTCAGGACTTCGGTCTCGGGCTGCATAAATGTGTCGGCCGGCTATTGGCGGCTCACGTACAGTATGCTGGGCACCTCTGGTTTATAAAATCATGAAGGGAAGAAACAAAATCACACGGTAATTTTCTCACTTGAAGTTGCGATATCTCCACCTGTTGCATGAGATATAAATTTGTATTTTTGTACCACATTTCACACATTTGCCTGTAAGTGGTCGTTCTTTATTCCTCATCGTTATTGTTTTTAGTCCACTGTTATTGTTGGGTGCTCTACATCGAATATAAATCTATATAATTATTATATATTTTTACCACATGATACTATTAAAACTGGTAGATGTCTATCGCGCACAGCCCAATACGCATTGACTGTTGTTGACGTTGCAAGTAAATATAAAGAAGCGAAACCACAATCACCAAAGACAGCAACTGAAGTTGAGTCTGCGTTTGAACGGATTTATCAACGTAGCGGCATGCGATGGCTACAGTTGCTACAGGTTGTTCCTGGCAAGTAATTTCTTGGTGAAGTAACATAGCTGATGCAACAACATAACGTCAAAATCAAACGAGGGCATGCCTCAATTCATCGCGATCAGGCAATCGTTAAGCTGTTTA